TCAGCGGGAGCACCGGGGGCAGCAGACTCGGCAGGAGCACCAGGAGCGGCAGACTCGGCAGGAGCACCAGGAGCGGCGGGCTGGGCAGGAGCACCGGGGGCAGCAGACTCAGCGGGAGCTCCGGGAGCAACAGACTGGATAGGGCCACCAGGCTGAACAGCAGGAGCAGTTGTGTGAACGGCGGGTGGGATAACGTGTGTAGGTTTAGGGGCTTCAGATTCGCAGGTGGTAATGGTCACCGTGTGCTCGGCTTGCTTTTCCCAGGCACTAGCAGTACCGGCCGCGATGGCCAAAGCAGTGACAACGTGGTTGGAGAAGTGCATTGTGTTTGATTGAACAGGAAAAAAGGGGGTATCGAAAATCAGAGGAGGTGCTGTTAATTTGGAAGAAGAAGGGCAAGAAAGAGACAGAGGAGAATGTGTAAAAGTGTCAATTAAAAGTGTATACAATGCAAGTGATGAACTGAGGACTGATGGTGAGAAGGACTAGGCAGAGTATCTGGGGATTCTTATAGTTTTCCCAGGGCTACGGATCCGGGATGATGGAAAAGAAAGAGCCTTCCCATCTGCTCTGTCGACGAGGCGAATGCCTGGAACCGGCGTGCGCCATATTGCATAGTGCCCTTGAATCAATGGATGCTGCATGCGGAGAGAACACAAGATGTGTCTCCTTAGGGTGCTCTATGTTGTTTAAACACCGGATATAGTGGGTCAGAATTAGCAAGAATTACTGCCCAGCGCGAACATGGGGCTTGCTGTGCCACGTGATATCATGTTCTCGGTTCCATGGTCCTGGAAAAGGCAATTGTCGTCAGCAGATTACCGAAAACGGAAACCACGATGCTCAACAAGGGATGGGACTCAAGCATTCCTGTCAAAGGAATAGGGAAGGTGGGGCCCGCAGAGACCACAAAGCATTGTGCTTTACAACCAATCCATTTATAGCATTGCAGCAGAGAGAAACGAAGCCGGAAGCATCCACTGTTCCCAATGTTGGTTGAATACCGTTTGACAGAATCTCCGCTTGACAAAATATAAGTGTGGTTTATATTGATCGACCGAACTGTTCGTTCTCAGGAATTGGGTCTTTCTAAGTCCGTACGAAGGTCTCATTCAACAATTCTAGAATATATGAGAAATTCGTGTACAAATGGTCTAAGGGGACAAGGGCGTGCACGGTTAGTGCGGTCATCAGTATCCCTGCCTTAGAAGAGACATTAAGCGTTTTGCCACATGAGTTAAAAATATGCATAGAAAAATGTATACTAGCGCGGGTAGTGTAACGGTTATCATCCTTGCCTTCCAAGCAAGGGACCCGGGTTCGACTCCCGGCCCGCGCAGACATTTGCTCTCTTTTTTTTTTAATTTTTTTCTTGGACTTCTAAGATGATCGGTGTCGGAATGAAACAAGGTATTGACAGGCAGAATAGGAGCCGCCAAAGTCACCGCCCTCAACCATCTCATCAGCCTACTTACTTACTTCTTACCTAAATGTGTTTTTAGAGAGTATCTCCTAGGGAGCCAGAGAATGAAGCAACGAGTTTGATTGCTGCCCGAAAACATCAGAGCCCTAGTAGCGGTTTTCAGTATCGAAATACAATGAATCGGAGCGAAGCATATATTATATTGGTGTGGAGTTAGTATGGGTTGTGGGAATCACCATGAGACAAAGCAGTGACATTGTGTCATGGTCATGGAAGTGGATTGAAGTATGATGGTTATTATTGTCACTATGTAGTAGACAGTATGCGGATCAGGAAATGGGGATCCGGGAGCGGTAGTGAAGGCGGTGCAAGCTGGTTGGCAATAACAGGTAAGAACAGCAGAAAAAGTGATGACACTGAGTATTGTTTAGCTGTTTAATTAGTTTTCCTGTCAAGTGTCTAATAACCTGGTAAACCATACACAGGATAGGTCAGATCCACACTCAGTTAAGGTGGCGATAGCTAATGGAACTATATCCGAGTCCCCAGAAAGGGCGCTGCACGAGCTTATTGTATCTCTAATATAGATAGGAGTACTCCATATCAGGTTTCCCGGGGTTGGGTCATCCGCATTCAAGCTGATAACTAGTCCTAGAACCGCCAATAATATATTACCAGGGCCCTTTCCATTCTCTGCGCAATTTAGGAAGTAAAAGCAATGATAAAGCTAGTACAAAAAAAGAGAAAGCAAATGTCTGCGCGGGCCGGGAGTCGAACCCGGGTCCCTTGCTTGGAAGGCAAGGATGATAACCGTTACACTACCCGCGCCATGAACGATATTTTCGTACCTTAAAATACATAATACAAAACCACAAAATTAACAAAATCCTACCAAGACACTACCATGAATACTCTGCTACATTACGTGGGAGAGGAAATGGCGTACTCCAATGTTATATAGCAGTTAACCCTTCTTTGTATAAAGGGGATACCAGATTCTTGATAATCTGTTGATCTCTTCTCACTGATATAATTGTTCATACCCGATGGCGAGATAACCCTTAGCCTATTGTTATTTAAAGCTTCCAGTTCACTGCTTCATTTCCTGCGAGATTCCAGCCAATATATTCCTCTTGTCTTACTAGCAAGTATGCTAACTTGTGGAGCACCTCCAAATGGGCATCATGTATTAAGCGAGCGTTTGTATGACTTTTGGACTGGGTATAGCCAACGTCTCCAACAACAAGTACACTTTCTTAAAAGTACACCTTCTTGGAGTCAAATATAGTGACTCATGATACGGTCTATAGCACCAGGCTTCTTTGCCCCTTCTAACCGACCAATTCTGGAAGTTGTTACAGTTCTTTGCGTCGTTCACCTACAGTACGGATCTGCGATCCCGGTAATGTGATTCAGTATTCCTTCCAGGAACACTACACTGTAATGTCTCAGGAGCATCACGTCCTGGACAATATATAGGCACATCCTCGCGTATACTCTTAAACTAGGCTCTAGTATCCATTCCGGAAGATAGACCATCCGTTCCTAGAACTCGAAGCTCAATATTTCGAAGAGTTAACTTCACGTAAATAAGTATAAATCAAGCCTAGCTCAGGGACGATACTACGGTGTTTCAACTAGACTATATTTGCCTAGTTGTTGACGAGGTTTACCGGTGGACACGTAGTACTGAATACCAACATTCAAATAGTGATTGTTACTGTCTCCCAAGTACTCGCTACGAGGTACATACATACCGACTAGTCCCGGCCTGGTGACCTCGCCATGGATCGTTAATATGCAATATCCGTCTTCCCGTACTCCCTACGCCGTCGCTCCCTGGGAAAAACCAGATAACCATGAACTGGACAGGCGGCCGCCTCCCCCGACATTCTGCCTCAAGTGGCCCACAGCCCAAGTACAAAAGACAAGGAATTGGGAAGTCAAGATTGGATGCATCTCAAGGTCCCCGACAAGTTACTCTATTCGACAAGGTTTCGCAATCTAAGAAGCTAGACTCCGATGGAAATACACTCAACAGGCATCAACAGGTAGGAGTATATCACCGTGGAGGAAAGTGCGTTGTCTCTCTATACTCCCATGCTAATCTTATATAGCCTCCCATTCCGCCACCTTTATCTTCGAACCAAGCAACCGCTCGTGTAGAGCACATAAAACGCCACCTCCTAGAGAAGACCGACTGGGCTGCCGTCTCAGCTGCCCGTCCACTTAAGATCAGCTTCCCGTCACCAGAAGAGCTAGCTCAGTTTGGGAAAAGACGGAAGCGGACCGAAGGAGGCTGAAGGAATCCGAGAACGAAGTGTCGCGGGTAGAGGGTCCGCTCTTTCGACGAGATTTCCGGAAAGGTGCGACACCGTCGACGATAGAGACTATTAAGGATCTGGAGATAAGGATAAATGGGGAAAGAGCGGGCGTTGGTCGTGGGTCTGCGGTCGAGGATGTCCTGCAGAACAACGTATCCTCGCAACCGATGCTGTTGGACGGTGAAGAGACTATATCTCGAGAATTGTCTGGGACACCGATGTTATCAGATGGGATGAGCGAGGTATTGCCTTCTAGTGAATGTTTGTCTGTTATTCCGGATTATCATTCTAGTCGGACGTCGCTGCTCTCATCGACGCCTAATATTCGGACCTCGCAATCGATGTATCTCAGGGTTTCGGTCCGACGATTGACCATTCTTGAAATAAGTGTTGTTCAATGAATAACGAGGTTTTTCATTTCGTTTCCCTGTGATAAGATTATGTATTTTATGCACATAGATACTTCCGCGGGGGTAACCTATCGCAATCTCTCTCTAAAGAGCCATATAGAAGCCAATAAACCATTACCCACTCACTACTATCTCATTATCTCGGCCTCTTCCCAGAAATCTAATTTTTCTCCTGCCACCTATGTCCACATCCCAGACAATGATAAAAAGCAGTATTTCCCTGGAATGCACTCCACAACTGCACCTGAGAATACACGACGTCCCTCCCAAAACACTTGGCACACTCGACCTGGATTTTAGGCCCAGGGCTCACTGTCTCCTTCGAAACCTTCTGTGTGTACGACTTGAGCTTTTTCTGTAGCGTCGAGGGAAAACTCTCCGATGTGGTGGTCTGGGTTCGCGAGAATGCTTCATCTATTATTGGGTGGTCAGTTAGAGAGATATCATTTGTGAATGAAGACAAGTAGATAGAAATGTAGGAGAATGAGTTGAAATACTTACTTTTTGCAGTTTGACCGCATCGTTCGCAGCGGAGGGTTTCTTCGGGGGAAATATCAAAGAGAGTGCCGCAGGCTGGGCAGAACTGGACTGCCATCTCTTTCTGGTTGGTGGGTTGGTTCTTGGTGTTGTATAGCCTTGGGTGATTCTAAAGAAAGATCAGGCTGGGTAAGCCATGTGTGAGTTATGCATACTTGCATGCGTAGCTTGTGTTGTCACTTGTGGCAGAATGGCCAAGTACAGAGAGACTGAGGGTTTGGACAAGGCTTCAGTCTTTTCTACTATTGTAAGTTGTATATCGTTTAAGGTAGTCTCATATCACATCTTATAATACTAGTAAATCTGTTATACAGCCACTCCCTGAAATGTGAAAGGCATATAGTATCTATTCAGATCACACAAATGATAGTTTATATTAATGGAGTAATACTAACAATGGACAGCATAACTCTATTCTATACTACAACGATATCTTGATTAATAAACTATAGGCTCAATGTTAAGATACTTTTTCTCTTAGAAAACGAAGAAACCGAGTTTTCCCAAGAACACCAACTAGCCGAATATCCCAGCAGCCACCAAGAAAAATTTACCCGTTTTATCTCTCTAAGGCCAATGGGCAAATGCTTGTTCTCCTTTACGCTCCGAAGTGCCGAAGGCCGGCGTTTATTATAATTGTGATCCCTGCACTTGTTTCCAAATGCGTCCGGAGACCGCCTCTAAGAGCCTCCAGTATATGGTTTTCGGTCACTATACAGCCTGATGGTGCGCAGCCTCGCCTCAATTTCTCTCATGGTAAACCGGCACCGTACCCGACGACACAGTATCGGAAGACCAGAAAAATGGTATAAAGGATGGGTTTATCTACCGTTTCTTTGGGACTACTCAGCTTCTGGCTTCGGGTATTCGATACACTTGATTGATTCACTTTCAATAGTATCCCCATATCTAGCTCTCCACGCTTACCTCGAACATTCCGTGTTTGATTTTATACATGACTGTGGGCACCAGGAGCCTGGAGGGAAACGTTGCGCTCGGTACTTTCCACACGCAGTGCGATGTAGTGAATACGTGGATTTAATCTCTATAGTCACTGGCTCTGGTCGCGGCATTGGGGCAGCGATAGCTATCCGACTAGCCCAGCATAGCGCAGATTTTGTGGACCAAATCCGCGGTCACGGCGGATGTTTCAAAGGAAGAAGACCTCAAGGTGCTCTTTGAGCGCATGGTCTCGGAATTCGATTGGCTGGATATTGTCATGAGCAATGTCGGTATTGAGCATTTTGGTCCCTTCCTGATATCACGGAAGCTCAAATCGACAAGGCGCTCGCCTTGAATGTCGAGGGTCAATTCTTCGTTGCTCAACAAGCCTAACACACATTTGACAGATAGCGGTCGTCTGAACTTGACGTCCTCTATCTCGGCCCAGATGGTTCGTCTATGAATAACTATGTACGTTGATATGCTTGCTAGAGCTGTGAGGGCTGACGTTTTTTAAACAGGGAGTGCCCATCACGCGGTCTTTGCCCTTTCCAAAGCCGTTGTTTAGGGCATGACAAAATGCTTGGCGCATGACTTTGGCCCACGGAATATCACGGGCAATTGTATTGCTCGTGGGCGTGTTAGATCGGATATATGGGATGAGGCTGCTACCAAATACTTCCCGGACAGTGACAAGATGACCGCGCAGGACGTCGAAGCTGCAATTGCCAAGTCTTCCCCCGTTTAATAGGGTGGAAGTTCCGGAGGACATTGCCGGAGATATTGCCCTTATCGCTAGTGTAGCCTCAATCGCTGACTGGTCAGACCCTTTTCGTTTGGTGGAGGTGCTTGGATGGCCTAGGTGCCAACCCTGTACGCGGTCGATGCTAGTATGGCGGATTCAACATCCCCACGCTCTGTTGCTCAATGTTGGTTAATGGCTTTTTCAGTTGACTTTATCAATCTTTATCAGAAGGCAAAGTGGATGGGAGTTCTTTTGGATGTAGCGATGTAGATTCGGACAATAATGAATCGGCTACTACTTAGAGGTTGAAAAGAGCTATCTGGACACTGAGAGAAAGAGCAAAGGGCGGTACGCTAATAAATGTTGTTATATGGTATTCCTTTAGCGTCACGGTTGCGCAACGTATATTGAGGACGAGGGCCTTAGGTGCGGCAAGAACACTACTAGTAGGATTGAATTTGGATTTCTCAGATGCACTGAGGCAAGGGCATGCCCAGAATGAGCGCCATCCTCACTGTTGAAGATATTGATAGACATCGATACCACATTGTCAGAAAGGTCTCACCCGGTACGGAAATCCCGAACCTTGTCAACATTCAGGCCCCTGCTTTAGCCCTAAGGATAGATCCGCATTAGTTGGGGTCTAGGTATGTTCCTAGCACTCAGGAACCTCGAGTTATATGGACGACATTCGACTAATCGTGGGGATGACGCGTTGACCATTACCAAGTAGTTATCAACCCCCTGCACCGATTTCATTATTACATTACTTGTCTCTCCCCTCAACTCCTCGTTGCTTCGTTTTATGCTCCTCACCCGAAAAGCAACAACCAATATAAACCAACGAAATACCCAATCATCCGAAAGGCAGTGCCCCCGGCAATGTCTACTACGTCGTTCCTTGCTATGACCACATCTCGATCCTATACTATTTCACCGCAGCATTTCCATGTGCATCACTGAGTGACACCATGCCAACAGCATTAAGCGCAGTCCTCAGGACCGGGTACGCTATATCATACCTAGTGCTCATATTAATGAACCCCAAATTTTGCCTTGAGCGTAACAAGCTTGATGAGAACGGGAAACCTATAAAATTACGATGCCCGTTGTTTGGGCTTGAGGCCACCGAAGTGGATTTGGAGGGAATTAGGAATGGCTTGCATGATGCGGAGGATGGCTGTACAGATCCGAAACTCCACGATTGGTATCGGTATGGGTTTGGTTTGCTCTGGGTTTGAATGGTCGAATTGGATTTGGATTGCGTTGGTGGGATTGTCAATAATCTGGCATGTATGTGATTGAGGTTGCGTGTGATATGTGACTACTAGGTAGATGTGGGATGTTTCCTGGGAAGTGTTTTCGATGAGTATGATAGCTTCACATTGCCCTAAAGGAGGGCTAGGTTACACTACGTACAAGGTATGTACTACTCGAGGGTTTGCCTTTTGGTTTTTTTTATTTCCATTATGTGTTTCTATTTCTACAACATGCTGAACGCTGTATTGTTCGATGGAAAAGAACGAATAATATACTAATGGCCTTGAATTACTATAGTAATGCTAGACTGTTAGGTGCTATTCCGAGAAGTCATATCCCTGTGAATAGTCAGTTGACTGGACCGAGGTCATCTAATCAATCTTATCTTACCATTATATCCATACCTAGTTCCTGGGGCGACTCTTCGTCCCACGGACAAATATAACTAGTCTACTGATACTCTTTTTCCTAAAGGGAACCTCCAAATCTTAATCAGAATCATACAAAGGGGTATATAAGAAACTAAAATCAACCAAAACCCACTCCCAATCAATACCCAACCTGCTGGACTAAAGCCCTCTCAAAATCAACATCAGCATCAACGTCAACCTCCACAGGGCCAAAGAACTCCCTAAAAACCCCAACCAAAACCTCCTCAGTCAACTGCATATGTCTTCCAGGAACAGACCTGAAAAGCAGCTTCCCCTCCTCATCCAACCCCTTCAAGCCAATCCAATCCTCCTGATAAATATCCCTCTCCTGCAACTGCACCACATCTCCCGTCTCCCCATCCACCTCCCCAAACCACGCACTCTCCTTCGGATGCACCATCTGATCCTCCTCAAACAGATACATCGCAAACTGATTCAACCGCCCTAGATTCTCCTTGTAGGTCTCATTCTTCACCTCCCGCTCATTATTCACATCGGCCAGGAAATTGCTGTTGGCGAGATACTCGTCCAGCTCGGCCGGGTCGCGGAAGTACTGCGCGGGGACGAACTTGCCCTGGACGAAGGCGGACCAGCGGCCCGCGCGGAGGAGGGCCTCAGCGCCGCGGCAGATCCAGTCGCTCCAGGAGCATTCTTGGAATTCCGCGATGCCGTTATGTTGGCTGCCGAAGGTGACGAGGTTGTGGACGGGCGGAGCGTTGCAGCGTTCGATGTAGCCGCGGAGGAATTGGCCGCCTTGGGAGAAACCGAGGGCGTTGATGGCCGGGGCGGTGCTGAGGATGCGGTCTGAGGCTAGTTGCGCGCAGACGGAGGCGACCTGCTCGCTCACGTTGCCGAGGAAGGTGGCTTGGCGGTCACCGGAACCGGTGTCAGAGAGGTGGATGAGGTGGACGTAGGTGCCTGGGTTGGTTTGTTCGGCCAGGGCCGCGATGGATTGGAGGCCTTCGCGTTGGAAGTCGTCGCCTAGACCGTGCCAGATTACTAGAGGGAGGGGGCTGTGGTCGGTGGTTTTAGGGTGGAGGGGGATGGCGGTTGTGAGGAGTGGGAGGGTGAGGAGAGTGAGGATGTGCATTTTGGCGGGGTTGTCTAGGTTGGGATTGATTTGATGAGTGAGTTGAAGGTTGAAAGGATGGTTGTGGTTGGTATAGAAATCAGCTGTTGTGGTCACGAGTTCCGACCATGTGATTTATCATATATATGAAATATCACGACTGACAATAACCCTGGCTGAAATTGATAAAAGCGTTTATATAGACTAATCAATTAGATACTACAATAGCTATATTTTATATATTACTATTATAGGTATAATGCGCCGTATACTAGTAGTGTGGTGGGGTGAATGTCCCCCTTTTCTGTCATGTGATCCTAAGAGACGCGTATATTAGATAGCTGGTTGCCGTAGGACGGAATAATGGAGACAATTAAACTGACTGTTTCGATAATTGTGGCCTATTCACGATTGCCCTGGATAACTCTGCGTGGTCGCTCACTGCGATCAACAGCAGTAGTAACTTTTGAAGTAGAGCAGAGTATTGCAAAGCCAGTATTATCAAAGTTCCGGATATCATTTTCTGATATGAATCTATACGAGACACGTGATCGCTCTAGTGGCTTGGCCGGATCACCAACTCTCCAGCCCCTGAAGGCTTTACCCATTAGGAGGAAGAGGAGAAGAAGAAGCAGTCAAGATAGTTGATATAGTCGTCCATAGAATTGAGATCTATCGGAATGGCATCCGGTCCTCAGTAGGCTACGTACGTGTAGCTGATACAGCATCATCCTGCCCATCTTTCCCCTGAGATCACAACATTTTCAAATATACCGTTGTTCTTGGATAGCTATATATACAGCCTGGAACTATGGTATTATAACTTTTGGATCTTCCTGCTCTGCACGTTAATATCTCATTCGTCTTGTATATCGTGTACAGAACTCAGGACGTCGCTAGTAAGAGAATAAGCCTAACTTAATTAACACAAAAGATACCTGTAGCTTTAGAGTGAGATCGGATTTTTTTCTTGTATATGCGGATATAGCCATCTGTATTCGATTTCTTGAGAAAGCGGCATTTTATATTGTAGTGGAGAAGAAAAGACGCCCTGAATGGTGTTCGATGGTAGGAGTAGAGAGAACCTGCCGGGTCGGCCGTGGATTATATACTGTTCGCAACATGGGTCGAGGACGTCTACCCTCGTCGATTCGTCTGGCTGTACCAGCATAGCAGTTACAACCTTGACGACGAGGTGGGGATTGTGTATAGTCCATAATGCGGTGAAAGCCAACTGTCGCTAACCAATAATAGATACGATCAAGAACAATCATTGGCAGGCGTTTATAGCCACACTGATGACCAATACAGGATGTGTACACACGGATAGGGATTTAAACCTTTAGAAGTCATCCTTCCATCTATCTCGATATGATAAGAGGAAGGAAAGATAGCAACAACTCGCCATCTCGCGATAACCTGGGAAGGGCCTCCAGACCCTATATCACCATGGATTATGCGACCCTACACCAAGGCAGATGTAGAAAAGGCTGTATCCGCAATGCAGCGGCTTGTGGCAGCCATAGAATCCAGACTACCTGTCCACCCCTCTCCCTCGTTGAACCCATGGTCTGACCTCGAGGCGGCCGCGCGGCCCATATACCTTCTAATACATTCATTTACGAGTTTTGAGAAGGAAACTCAACCATACAGATTCCCTTCCATTATCTTGCGCCTGGGATCCGGCTGCCTAGCCCTGCTGAATTTAGTAAACAACCGTTCCTCCCCTCAGACTGACTGAAGGACCAGGACTATCCTCTCCACTCCTCACTACTATTATTTTGTACGGACAGCGTGAGAGCCACACGTCGCAATGTTTCTCTCGTCCCAGAATCACCAAGGATTTCAACTATCCCGGCGGGCTTGTATATGTCATCTATGTACTATCCCTCCAACCGCGAGTTTTCTAATGGTTGTTACCTGCTTCTACCTTTTAGTATCGGCGAATATGGATGGGCATGTACAAGTGACAATCAGCAGATGGGCGTGGCCCCGTGGGATGATGTACCGGAATCGAAAGGCACGCATGATGATCTTTACCAGCCTAGATATAATGGCTTCATGGGTCTGCGGGATGTACAGCTACACAAGGTACTACGAAATTGGGCATCAAACATCGAAGATGGTCACTGGGAGGTGGGTAAAGATGGCGTAATTGGTGGAATCGAAAGGTTCGAGGAAGCAGATACTGAGGAATACTGGGAGAAGTACTGGGTGCCACCGAGTTGGTAAGAGTTGGTTATACTTGTTGAATACTCGCACAGACTCTGCGTTTTGGTGCGTGGTATTCCGGAGGGAAATGGATAATCTTGCTGGTATTGGTGGGAGAATTGAAGTTATTCGGTCTATCGTATACATTAAAAGCTTTAATAGTCTTGTTTCAAGACTGTGTCAGAATTTAACCAAACTAAAATAGATTCTAAAATAGATTCTAAAATATATATAAAGTTATATCTATTCACCAGGCCTGTATCAGACACTGGGTAATTTCATGGGGATATTTAATAATGGCTAACTCTAGTCGGGGTTTGATTCTCCAGACGTGATATACATGCATATGGAAGATATATTGCCATACTAGGCTTTTTCACAGAGACAGTCGGAGACTATCTAGTAATTGACTTATATATAAATGTAGCAGAAGATACATAACTCATCGATCGAAAATGTCCCACTAGCATATCCTGACATATCAGAAAGTTATTACGGGTCATAGGGTGGCGCAGTCTTGGCATGATTAGATACGAGATCCTTCAACTTTGATCACTTCGATGAAACTCTGCCTTCCGCTTCCTTTGCCCAAGAGATGCAGATATCATCACCAATATGGGCAATACTGGACTTCCGAGCAAGGACTGCCACACTTGTCGCCGTCGTCGGGTGAAGGTAGGTTCCTAACTGATCATGACGATGTCGCGTCACTAATATATACCGCGAGTGTGACCTCGGTCGCCCCGGCTGTTTACGATGCGAGAAGATCGGCCAAGACTGCCCGGGCTATAGAGACTTGGGTAGGGTGGGTTCCAGCTTCCGGATCGTAACCCCAGAATCCTACCCGCATCGAAAGAGACAGAACAGCCGCCGGCGGCTAAAGCAGAACCGTGAACAAGAAGCGCGGTATCTTTGTCAATTCGTTGGAGCGAGGCAACCGTCACTTCCATATGCGCTGACTGAACAGTGGGAGGCACATGTCAAACCTCTTGTCATCAGCCAATTTACGATTGTGACATCGCAGGGAGCTCGTGTATACGGCTCGGTCGATTTCCTGCCGCAACTACTTGAGCACGCTGATACTAAATCCACACTGTATACAGCGTGCAGTGCTATCGCCTCCGCCTACTTTACCAACCGGGCACGTTCTGATAGCATTGGCTTTGGCCATCGAAAACTCTATGGGAAGGTCTTGCGATCTCTGTCCAATGATGTCGCAAATGTAGAGATGCAAAAGCAAGACTCAACGCTGGCGACGATGTGGCTGTTGTGTTTGTATGAGGTAGGTTGCTTTTATCGCCCACGCCGCTGTTGTAGAACTAAGGCGTCTCCATGCGTATAGCTCATAGCCGGGACACCGGCCCAAGAATCCAAGCTGGAACCTCAGGGCTGGGAAGTGCATAGCAAAGCAATGATCGGGCTCTTGCGATTGCGAGGCCAGAACCAGTTCCAAACCTCGACAGGACGTCTGCTTTTCCAGCTAGCGTACCAAAGCATTGTAGGTTTCCTGATATGCTGGCTGAAGCCCCCGTCAATTCTGACATTCTATGGTACAGCAAATACAGGCGATGCAAACAGGCCGGAGGCCGCCACCGGAAGCAATCGCATGGTTGCATTCAATGCAGACATCCCCGATGGCGAAAGAGATGATGTTTCTGCCGGCATTTTTGTACAGTGACTTGGCTTCGCGAATCTACAGTACAATCCGGGATCTGATCGACCAAGGCTCACACGAAAAGATGCTCTTAGGCGTAAACGACATAGTCATGGCCTGCAAAAATCTGGAATCGTCGATAAGTGCAGTGATCACACAAGACCTAGCCTCACAATCACAACCAGGCCCATCCGACGACCTGACGACAGGAAGAAGTGCCAAATGGTTGATGAACAAGCATGCTGCGAAATATCTCGATGCATGCCTCTTCAAAGTTCATCAAGGAATTTTAGACTTGCTGTCCGAGACACTAAAAGCTAATCCAACACCGAAGGAGCACGATGAACTCCTGTGTCTACGTGAATCCAGCATTAAGCGTTTGCAGGACATTGCGGACCATATCCTAGTGTCTCTCCCTCAACTTATGCCGGCCAAAGCGGCCAGCGCTGACAAACAGGGTCAAAACATTCCGACATGGGGACACGCATTAAAACTACTATGGCCCTTGCGTCTAATTTCGTCCTCCGCCGTTGTGTACGAAGAACAGCGTGCTGCTGCGGACCTGGGTCTACTTCGAATGGGCCACGAGGCTGGCATCATGCAGGCATTGGGGGCATAATATTACAAATAATGAACGAAGAGCGTGGACAAAATACGGGCTATTTAAGATCGCTTCCGGAATATGCAACTACATAAAGAGATTGAATTGAGCGATACCAATAGCACCAATAACAATACAGCTTTAGCTCTCAACAGCGATGATCGTTTACATGCAAACAAACCCCGTCATTCTCATCGGGAAACAACGTACCCACAAATCGTAGCCACTAAGAGGAATGCGAAGTTTGGTTCTCAAAAACCTCGTCCAACCAGTTCAGAGTAGCTAGTGCCATCTGAGACTCAGCCCCAATGGCACAATGCTCTCCCGCACCCACATTAGTCTTGAAAAGATGGTAATGTGCCTTGTCGCCAAGCATACGCGCCATCATCTCTGGTTGACCGGGCGCAAGACCGTCATCCTCACCCGACGCAACAAACACCGGACAAGTGATGTTGTCCAGCACCGCCTGGCTGACAGCCGCCTGTCCCATTTTATTAAGCCATTCGAACGGGCTAGTGGTATCAAAAGCCCACAGCCCCTGTTCCAGGCTCCACTTGAACTGCGACATACCTGGCAGCTTGTATGCCGCCCAGATGGCCGCATCGAACGCCGTCGCGTTGCCACTTTGATACACTTGACGTATCTGTGGTGTAAACTTCTGCAAGATTGACTCCCGAAGATCAAGCCAACCATCCAGTGCAATGACAGCAGCCAAACGGTGTTCACGGGAGGCTGCCAAAGGGGCTAACTGGCCACCATACGAGACGCCCTCGAGCGCGATCCGGTCAATGTCAACATCGTCACGATCCTTTAACCAGTCAATGATGGGGGTGATGACACTCCACCAGTCGGGGATGAAGCCGATGCTTTGTTCACGACGCACTTGTGGCTGTCCGGGCCCCTCGTACGTGACCAAGTTCCACCCGCGCGCGAGGATCTCCTGCCCCTGTGCATGGTATAGATCTTGCTGGGCTCCGTCGTATCCGGTTCCAACCACGACCGTGGGGACTCGTTTCCCTTTACCGCCCGTCACGTTGGCATGTGACGGTTTCGGGGCTGGATAGAAGTACACGGGGATCTTGAACCGGCCCCCGTCGAGCTCCACCTTCTGTGGCGGCTCAGGCAGCAGCTTCATTGCGGTGTCATAATTGTCCAGCATGGCGGACCAAAGAGTGAGAATTCGGGGATCGGAGGCGTTTCCATGAAGGAAGAAGTCCGCTGCACGATAGTATGTCGCAGCACGGAGATGCGCCTGGCGAGCAGAGACGGGAAACCTCGTGGCATCCACAGAGGTAGCCTGGTGGGCTATTTGGTCCGCCAGGAACTTGAACTCTGTATAAAAGCTTTCGTAGTCTCCTGGTATAATTTGGGAGGCTGCGCGAAGGACTTCGCCAGTAGATGCACCGCCGCCATTGCTGAAAGAGAGAAAGGTCTCAAGGGCGAAGGCAAATTCAGGGTCACTGCTCAGTTGATGTATCGAAGTGGTGGAGTTGGTGATGGTGACGTTGGGGATTGATGCATTTGCTGTCTGTTATTGGTGTCAGCGACTGATATCCAAACGAAGTATTAAAGGCTGAAGCATACCACTAAGATGAACAGCGTCCCAACGCAGAGCGATAGCTGGAGAAGCATTGTGATGAAACCTTTTTTTTTTTTTTTCCTTGAAAAAAAAAAAAAAGAAAAAGAAAATAGAATGCGGGATATTAGATTTCAAGTTTGATGCTTCGATGTTGGTATAGGTGGGTGTGAAAATAATGGCAAGTTAATGGAGGAATACCGTCAGTTTATATACTTGAGAATGAGGGTTCAGGCTGCTTTGTTTTGGCCGTTGGCTTTCACAACCATGACCATATTGGGTAATTCCTTTGCAAGTGTATCCATGGCTCCATTGGGATCAAGGATACGAGTTCTATCAGCCTGAATCGCGGCGTCGACATCTTACTTGCCGGTTGTGGCAAGCTATTCGAGATGACGATGGTCGACCCATCAGCCATGGACCCACAGCGAATAAGCAACGCCGATCGCTACCTTTCATAGTAATTCCATTCGAGCCTAGTGTCTTTGGGAATAATGGATACATCTGGCACCAAAATTAGACTTCCACTGCATATTGCAAATAAAATATTGTCCCTACTATTCCTCATATTATGGTCGCAATGCGCAGTATACTAGCCCTGTGAAGGTCTTTCTACCTCTAGGGCTGACAGCGCCTTCCACTAGGTTTTCTATTAAGGAAAAAGACCCACTACAATCAACTCTGGTTGGAGTCGATCCTCCAGGCACGATATATACATATAGTGGCGCAGCTTTCCGGGAACATCGGAAACTTACCAGCCCTAGACCGTGACTAGACAGCTCAATGTCATTACTTCCCCATCCCCTTTTATTATTATCTATTTCCATTTATCCTCTTGCTCGCTTGACGCATACGATCCTTTTCTAAAGTGGCATTATTCTACGAGCTTGTTTTCCTACTGTGTATCATCGAGGGTCAGACTGTTTGATTGTATAGTGACCTCTCTGCCTGTCACCCGGGACGATATTTTAGGGCTAGATTAAGTCACTAGCACGTAGTCTAATAGATCTAGATATTCTTATTGTTGAACAGTCTCATCTTAGCTGCTGAGATGAAGGACTAAATCAAATAGGTTGGGTGTACATCAAGCTGTCGACTTCGATATGCTTTGTACTTTTACGGAAAGCGATTTACAACGGGAGTCTGTATGTACTTTGACTTTGATTTTGGAAACCCCAAGAAACGCACTGATGATGCGCTGGCTCGATCGATGATCTGGCAGCTTGCTACCCAAGACTCAGATGCAAGCAAAGTTGAAGAGTATTGAAGGTTATGGTCATTGACCAGTAGGACTCACGCTCGTTAATACAGCTTGAGTTCGGGTTGTTGAAGGGGTCATCACGGCGTGGTGCTGTGGATGGTATCGAGTCAAGGTTATGAGCAGATCGTGAGGTTGTTGATCGACAAACGTACGGATATACCTGCCGCCTTTGTTGATCTCACCATTCAATAGGTTACGGAGAAGAAATAGCACAATATCGTGTAGCTGATGCTCCAACGCTTGAGGTGAGTCTTGGCTGTATATGTCCGCTATCGGGCAGAGGAGTCCCTAATACGTTCTCGACTTCTTCAATGCTGGGGGCGAACTACCGGGACGGATTGACTCATCAACAAGTTTAGCTTGAATAGTTATTTTACCTACGCCGGTCACTCGATCGGGTGCTTTTTTGGCCATCATCCGACGAGAGAACACTTTTGATCCGGGGGTTCGGGTACTTATAGGGTGCATGGGCTCTGGTGGTTGCATTGTTCTGTGTGCCGTTTTCCTGCCTGGTCCTATGATCTCCGAGGCGACCAAAGAGCAGCAGAGCGACTCTGGCGAGGAGGCCTAGGTGATGATGATCTGGATTGCTGTGGGTTCCACCACGCTTTGAGCAAGGAAATTAGTCCATGATATTGCCAAGTATGTTCTGTACGTATCAAAGTGGAAAGCAAAGCGAGTGTTATAATTATCAGGAAAAGTCCATCGGAAGTCCACCGATCCCTTTCCACTGGATAAATACAAAACGTAATTCCCAGCCTCGTAATGTAAGCCATACTAAAATCTTACACCAACATCACCCAACCTGCATCCTAAGGTTGCCCCTGCAGGGTCCCAACCTCGGCCGAATAGGGCATAGGGCGTCAAGCACCGGACCCTTTCCCACAGACTAAGACTCCCCGACGCCCTCGATAACCACCCGATACGCTGAATTCCTTCCATAATATACCTTCACACAGCCTAGGGAAGCCCCGTAAGATCCAAATCCTAATCTCATCCTAACCTCTCTAAAAAATGTCCGTCCCCCCTATCCTGCGACTGCTGGGTCGCCACCATCCACATCACCCAGCAATCCGAAGCGCCCTTCAAGACCGACCCTGAGGCCCAAATCCAACAGCCTACGCTCCTCAGTGACAAGCTCTCCCTCAGCACTACTCTCGTGCAGCACTGGGAGTTCATGAACGGGTGTCCGCATCCCAAGACCCGTCTGACGCCTCAGCTGCTGCGCATCGTGGCCGAGGGCAATCAATCGTGTGCTGAAGCTATTGAGACGACTGTGGATTGCGGTGGGGCCCTGCCCGTGAGTGACTCCGGGGCATCTACTACAATTACCGAGGAGGGATCGCGTGCGGATCCAAGCTTCGTGGGCAGGCAGGCTGGAGCTGGACGATGAGGAGGAGATGGCCATTGTCGCGCAGGAGGCACTCCGGTACGCAGTGATTCGACTGGGGGCTACGTTGTAAAATATTGAGGAGGAAACGCAACAGGGCGGGCTATGGGCGGAACAGGGCCTGCGGGATGGAGAGGTGAAGGGGCTCATCGGGAGGCTGTTTCGGTTGCTGGGGAAGGTGAATGCGGGTGGGGGTTTGACGACCACAGCGAACCGCAGGGCATGGTGCTGTCCACCACGCCCGGCAGCAGCATCAACGCCAGCCATCCCACAAGTGCCAGCTCTATATCCGGGGCTAAGGCCACGCCTCTGAGTAGCGTGTCCAGTCCGCCCGTGTTCCTCATCCTAACCGTAACCACAGGCATCTGGGCCCAGAAAGAAAGCCTAGCCCTAGGGCCCGGAATAAGTACCAGTATCCCATCCATAGACCCCTGGTCCTTCCAGACACCAGCAGACAGAGAAACCATCCAGCCAGACTCAGTCCAAACCGATAAACCAACCACATTCCCTGAGTCCATCCCCCATCACTGGGACTCGTCAACAGACTGCTGCTACGTCGCCATCTTCAAGGGAACCACCGCCCTCGAACAGTACCTATCCGGTCGCCACGCCAGTTGACCTCGTTCTCGAAACAGAGCGCGACCTCCACGCCCTCCACCAATGCCTCTCCGCCTGCCATGGCCATGCCATGCACTCCCAGTCTTGCTAATCTACCGAGCGCCGGCATGCTCTCCTTCACTCTCTTGGCTGAGCGCGTTGTAGGCATGCTCGAAGAGACCTTCCGCTTCGCAGCCGAAGCAGCGACAACCCCCAGTCCCGTCGAGAGCCCCTGGGCCAAGCGCTACCGGCAACGCTTGCGAGACTTGAGCGTTTGTTCCGTGGCTTGTTGGCGTTGCCCTGTGTTTTCCCAATTCCGGCGGGGTGTATTGATGGCGGGTTGGTGAGCATGTGGTGGAGGCGCTGGTTAAGACAAGAGCTATGAAGAGGATACTGCAGCTACGAGTTTGTAGAGTAAGGGGATCGTTGGATGGTTTGAAACGCCCGTCGCGGCAGGGGAGGGGGATATCGGGCGGCGGACCGTTGGATTGGGGTGGGAGTTCGGGATTCTGGATGATGCTGCTGGTCAGTTGCTGGGAATTTGGTTAGGAGGTTGGAGGCTTTGCAGGGTGGTTTGACGTTGAAGAGGGTTGATTTTTAAATGCTTTGGTTAGTTGTATATATTTATGAAGTGTCTAGGATATTAACGTGGGTCTAGGAGGTAAGGGTGTGGCAGGGACAAACTTGAGACTCTTGAGGTTACTGAAGAATAAGGAATTCTTGAAAGGAGGAAGCGTAGTTATTCTATAAAGTGATCTAGTCTTTCTTATGAATCTTCTCAAAAGTCTAGCAGTGGTATCTATTGCACCTAGGGAAGTATAGAGTTATTGTTGATAAGACTGTTGGAAAAATCCACGTTTTTGCGGGTATCAAAATTAAGGATATCGCTTTGGCATTCAAAATGAGCAATCTATATCCTGCATCCACTATGAGGAGAAAACATATAATCATAGTCATAAATATAGAACAATCAAAGGATGCACGCTACCTAGTGGAGACTCTACCCCGCTATCATCAATTGCACAGCCTTGTTAAACAACACCAACTTCACCTCCTACCTTTTGTTGTCCAGCTGGCTTAGTGGGCTTAATCTAAATGTAAACTGTATTCTTAGCATTTGTCTTCACCATGGATATTGGAGTTTCCTCTCAGCATTTGCCAGACTGCAGCACATGCATGGACTTGAAATACTCAACTGAAATGGCTAAAAAGAACGAGATGTACGGGACAAAGACGGACTACAGAGTATATTGTGGATTTAGCGACTAGCATCCTCTGCTCCCGCTTGCGTGAAATGTGCCATATTATTCGAGGGCATGACTTTGGCCATGTCCATGGAAAGTATTGACCGTAAGGCTCAAAATATTCAAATCACGGCTTGTATCGATCGTCGAATCACAATCGAGCAAGGACATACAAGTAGAAATAAGGTTGAATTTTTCACTCTCCAGGGTGAGTAGAATACTAAGTTAGATGTCTCTATAGACAAGAGGCTAAGTCATGTCATCCAGAAACCCCGGGGACAATAAAACCAACTGCGCTATTTCCCAAGCGATGCCCCCTTGCCCCGAAAATGAACAGCAAGCTAGCAGCCCAGCGAGCAAAGCCTTGGCTGCAGGAATGTTTGTCTTCTCATAAACTGTGTTTACGGGCCAAAGGTCCTATCTACCCAAACGCGTTATTCGGTTGACTTCCCGCGACTCTAGTCCACGGCTTCATATATCTTATCTGGACAGTAACGACTATCTTGCGCTGAGCCATTGTTGGGGAACTGGAGAGCCGTTCACGACAACATCGCAAAGCCTTTCTTCTCATACTTGTGGTGTACCATGGGATAAGACACCTGACACGATCAAAGATACCATGCTCCTGACTCTAGATCTCGGCGTGGAGTTCATCTGGATAGACGCATTGTGTATTGATCAGGATGACGCCAACGATCGGAAGGACCAAGCAAGCAAAATGGGGGAGATATATGAAAATGCACTACTGACACTGAGCGCAAGTGCATCCGAAAACATTCGCACTGGGCTCTTCCATAGCGCAGCCCAAAATACAAACTGAGCCACCATCTCCCATCGCTGGTTGATATAGACCTGTATGTGCGGCAACCGTGTAAAGAAACCCATCATATCCTGTCCGACAGAGGCTCCGATACTATCAGATTTTCCCAGCCAGACAACCTTGCGGGATTTCCCATCCTCTCCAGAGGTTGGACATTTCAAGAGCGAATTCTATCTCGACGAGTGCTGCACTTGGGAGCCGGAAGAGCTGGTTTGGGAGTGCCTTGATGCTGCCCAGTGCGAGTGCGGATTCCAAATAGTACCACCGGACTCTGGACGCGATGATATGCGCGCAAGAAAAAATCATCGATGATCGATTCCATAGCGTTTCCAGCGTAGGAGCAGAGTTGACGTGGAGTCATCCACAGTGGGAATGGCAATTACCCATCGTCGATTATTCGACCCGAAAGTTCATAAAGCACACAGACCGGCTGGTTGCACTCGAGTCTACTGCAAACAAATTTACTCGACTTGATATGGGTCCTTACCACTATGGGCTGTGGCAGATAACTTCTCTCTTCAGTTAGAGTGGGTTGCTCAGCAGAACACTCGACGGCTGGATCTGCCAACTTGGTCCTGGGCTTCAATTCACACCAACTGTTACTATAATGCGTTTCCGTTTCTCCCAGATACCAAAGTGTCTAGCGTATGCGAGGTGCTCAAGCTCCCTACAGGCCCATGTTCAGAGACTGGGATAGTTTCGAAAGGACCCGCAGTCAATGCAAAAATGTTTCTCCAGAAGCTAGCATGGCGAAAAGAGAACGATGCGCTTCAGGTCAAAGTAAACATCAATAATGAATTATCCCACAAGGTCTTTGTGGATATTCGATAGTACAGCGAAGGCACTGTTGAATGGGAAAACACACAGGCAGACGAGCGTCTTTTCCACGGCCAAGATGTAGTCTGCATAGAGATATCCACAGTTATTCGTCCGTCATCTCAAGAGGATGTATATACGCGTGTTGGTCTCTCGGGGAGTGAGGAGGATGTGCCGTCTGACAGGAAGACACTTTAGTCCTTTCAGTCATTTGATGAGTTGGCTGAGAAGAGAGTGGCACAAATCATTTAACTCGACAACAGGTGTTTATTTGTCAATCTAGGTCTGTTGAACTATATTAAAATTGTTCTAGCGACCCCCCAACCCGTGGGACATGATGCGCACACTATAACAGTATAATGCCTTTCTTTTATCTCAGCAGCAGTTTTTGGATATAACAATACATAACTTTAGCTATATATATATATATACTAGTATCCTTGCCACAAACCATGTCCAGATTTTCTAGAAGGGCTCAAATTGCAAATCATCAATTCTCTTGGGCCAGGCTGACTCGCCCCTAGGATGTAAGATCATAAATCTTCTGGACATCCTTCAGTGTCGCCTCGAAATCAATATGCAGATCCTTGATCAGACCGTCGTGGAACCCAAACACCCATCCAGACACAACTGGGAATCCATTGGTCGCATACGACTGCTGGACAGCCGCCGTCTTGATGATATTCTGACACTGCTCGATAACATTAAGCTCAACGAGCCGGTCGTAGCGCGCTTTATTGTCGGATATGGCATCCAGCTCATCCTGATGGAGACGGTAGACATCACGGATATTCCGAAGCCAGGGGTTGAGCAGGCCTAGGTCCTGGGGTTTCATGGCAGCCTGGACACCACCACAGCCATAATGACCGCAGACAATAATGCGCTTAACGTGGAGATGGCGGACGGCATAATTGATAACACTCATGGCGCTAAGGTCAAGGTTGCAGACCATGTTTGCGATGTTTCGGTGCACAAAGGCCTCCCCGGGCTGTAGGCCTGTGACCTGTTCGGCGGGAATGCGGGAGTCGCTGCATCCGATGAAGAGATATTCAGGGCTCTGGCCCTCGACAAGCCTATTGAAGAACTCTGGATCCTTCTCGCCCTGTGTAGCAGCCCAGGCGCGGTTGTTCTCAAACATCTGCTCGTAGGTCTGCTGGAGATGCTTGGAAATTGGTTTTGTCTCTTTACCGGCCATGTTGGGTTTATCAGAGGAGCTGATCGGGCTGTTCTATTGTGGAGAGAAAACGCGCGGTCGTGAAAGAAGTCGTATGAAGTGAAGTCGAGTATATTGATAAGAGCAGACTGACGTCGCGGATCCAAGTTTCCCCGCTCCACGGCATGCTAGGGCTCAGTGGGTCATATTCCACTGACCAATGACCTTGCTCGAAACTTCCGCAGATTGAGCGATGCGCCAGGCTGATCGTCTTTCCAAGGCTGTGAAAATCCCAACTACAATCGAAGAGCACATGCAAGATCCCTATAGTGACGATTTTAGTCCATTTCTTGATTTCCATTGGCTTCTTAAATCCCTTTTTCCCCTTATGTACGTTCATTCCCTTCCCAAATCCTTGTCGCACAAGCCCACACCTAACAAATAATTGCCTCAAGGTACTCCAATGCTAGGATAGACTATATCAACAGAATTGGTCTAGTCTTTACATTAAACGGTACAGATCAGAGCCTTAAGCCTATTCTTCTCGCAGCCCACCAAGACGTTGTCCCTGTTGATGACCCCTCTAAGTGGACGTACCCACCATTTTCGGGGCATTTCGACGGTGAATGGCTCTGGGGCCGCGGAGCAAGTGATTGCAAAAATCTGGTAATTGGGGCTACTCTCGGTGATTGAAGATTTATTAGCCCAGGAATGGCACCCAACCCGTACCATCATGCTTGCATTTGGCTTTGATGAAGAAATCCAGGGGCAGCTTGGTGCAAGGTCAATTTCCTCCTTCCTTGAGCAAAAATATGGACAATACAGCTTTGAATTCATCTCTGACGAAGGTGGTATGGGTTTTGAAAACCTTGCTAATGACGAAGGGGACGATGACATGGTTTACGCCCTTCCAAGTATAAGTGAAAAGGGTAGTTTGAATGTTGTCTTGGATCTTTCAGTGTCAGGTGGGCACAGCTCTGTACCTCCGCCTCATACAGGTATTGGAATATTGTCCGAGATTATTTATTTCCTCGAAAGAGAAAAGCCTTTTGCGCCCCTCCTTGGCGAAACACATCCGTCTCGCCGAAAGCTAGAATGTCAGGCGAGGCACTCACCAAACTACGTTGAACCATGGCTGGCAGATATACTGCAATCCACCGACTATGCGTTTGCAGCAGAGGAACTAGCCTTGTCAAGAGGTCCTGAGTTTAGATTTCTGCTGCAAACATCGCAAGCGGCTGATATTTTTAACGGTGGTATGCAAGCAAATAATTTGCCAGAGAATATATCAGCTTCGGTTAATTATCGGATTGCCATGCATGAAACACCAGACACGGTTAAGTCTCGCGCTATTCAGATCATCACTCCTATTGCTCAGAAACATAATCTAACCTTATTTGACTTCGGGGATAACCCCACATCCAAAGGAAATAGCTATATACAACTGTCAACAGACAGGATTGAGCTGCGCCCAGCACCCGTGAGAACAGGCAGGGCACTGGATATACATGGGATTGATGAAAGAATTGCCATCGATGCACATTTGGAGACTATGGCTTTCTATTATGGTACGTCATTTTGTCGCAGCCAGGGATGTTGGGTTGTCTATGACTTTTGTTAATTTATTCTCTGAGGTAGAACTGATCCGTGCTTTCGATATACCGGACGACTCCAGCGAACAGGCTCATGATAAGTAGCTGACCATGGTGAATCGTTGGGTTGGCAGCTGGGAACGGAAAATCTTGTGGAATTTGGGATAGAATTGGAAGATCCCAATGCGCATCCCAGAATCTCAAAGTAATGCCAAAGAATAACTCGGGAGTTCGCTTTTTTGAAATAGTAAGGGATGGGATACCCAGGGCTGTTTTTAAGTTGATATTTAAGCGGGAATCCCTTCCTGTGCAGAAATCCGGATTTGGCGTCCTGTTCAAGCCCTACTGTTGAGGTGAGATAGGAAACAGGATATCAAGAATGGGATGGGTTGAACGGGTCCAAGATATCATACAGCCCTATCCCAAAATGATCTTGTATTATATTGTTACCCATATTTCTTGTGACATTTCCTGCTGCTGCAATTCATCTCTGTAGGTAACAATTATAAGTAACAGCAGAGAAATGCAAGCTCTGGCATAAGGGTTTATAGCTTGCGTAGTAATCATTCTCGAGTCAAAAGGCTCTGCTAACAGGCATAGCGAAGGTAATCAAAGCAGCACTCAAATTCATCAAAAAGTGATCCAGCATCTGTATTCACTGGTGTGTTATTTGCCTCAGCAATTTGAGAGATGCAAGTGCCTGAATAGCCTGGCCGATTAAGATTGTAGGGATATTGTAGTTAGTAAGAGACGTATGTTTAAAATAAACTCCTCCACCTGTGACATACGTGAATATCATTCCTGTTAGTGCTTCACCTCAGTGGGGCGAGCGGTTGAGCCTAGTGAGTACACAGGAGTGCTTACTAGATTCAGTTCCTCATTCATCCTTGGTGGGGTGTATGGTTGAGCAGAGCACAGAGTTGAGTGAGGAGATAACATTAACACAGGTTGAAGGTGAGAGCCATTGCATAACCCCACTAATACATTACCTGCTTAAGTAGGGTAGATCATGCACCAATTCAACATTGTTACTTTTAACTGTTGATAGTCAACCAGTTCAGTTTCAGCTCTCAGCCAAGCCTTCTTTTTTGACCCTTCTGATGGGACGCTTTTTAATCTACTATGGTACATGACATATCCAACAGTATCATTGGTCGCGTATCAGAAAACATCTTTAATATAGTTCCACTATGACAACATTGGTCATAGCCAGGCCACAACAAAAGGAGGGGCTGAATTAAGATATGTTTCCTGTGATCCACTCAAGACTAAACTGACCTGGCCTTGACACAGTGTTCCTATCGAGGTTGCTAGGTATATTGGGGGAATCTTACGTGTTGTTGTTTCCGAGGCTTACGCACTTCATATTCATCCTAACCGACCCTTTACAGGGCCCGCTGGTTACAGGGTCGGTTACATCATACACTTGATGTGCTGCTTAATGACCTTTCAAGCTAGCCTAGGCTTCGCCTGCGTGAACCTTAATGTAAGTTAAGCTTCTGTTGACCCATAGTCATGTGGTTAAAGCTAGACGGTGACCGGAATCCGGTCACCGGAAACGTCAATCTCAGCCGCAAAATAAACGTTTCTGATGTAATTGTCATTGGATAAGGTTTCAAAAGACTATATGTCTGCTCCCTAGCTATGTCCTGGGCTGGTTACTGTGACTTGGCCAGTCCATTCGTCGAGCAGGCGAGCCTTCACTCTGATGACTTGCCCAATGTCCAGACTTGATAGCATTAAGGTAGAGAGGCTGGCCAATACTGACTGATCCCCGTCCAATGCCGTGAAAAATAATTTATTGGCCCAGTGACACTCGCCCTCGAGCTCAAATGGTGTCTCGCCGACTATGTAAATTAGCTATCAACTGCTTTTATATGGACAATTTGTTGCAAGTTCTATGGAATTTGAAGGGGACTGGTATCGGAATAGAGAGAACTAAGAAATTGACTTTGAGCGCTCTGATTGACTTTCGTGCTGAGGTTGGTTCGAATCCGAGTAAGTGTAATTAATTGTTTGGTCGCTTGGAAGGATCGACAACCTTTGTGGTGTTTCTCCCAATTATTCGAAGGAAAACATCCGGATGCGGCTCATGACGTAATAGCAAAGGAGATGCTTAGTGTATTAATATGCGAAGTATTTAAAGCCTATCATGAATCTGATGAGATCCATGAATAATAAATAGCAAGTAATCGAAGGCCTTTATCAAAGCTACCTATTTCTCCCTCAGGCGAGCAACAAGTCTTGATAAGTTAGAGTCTTGCGACACTTTCAGAATGGTCTCTGTTGTTCAAACCCTGGTCACCACTCTTCTGCGACTGAAGGAGCTTTTATCTGTTTGGCTCTCTGGAGGGTCTAATATGCCAAACAATAACCAGACTGAGCCTGATATAGTTATCGTGGGTGCAGGGTTTGCTGGCATCACCGCCCTGTACCGTCTTCGAAAGTTAGGATTCAAATGCCTTGTTCTTGAAAAAGGCAGCGACATTGGTGGGATCTGGCATTGGATCTGCTACCCGGGAGCACGGGTGGATTCCTATGTCCCGTCCTATGAATTCTCGATGCCCGAGTGCTGGCAGGATTGGGAATGGACCAACAATTATCCCGACTATGCTGAAATGCGGAGATATTTCAATCACTGCGACGAGAAACTGAGCATAAGGAAACATGTCAGTTTCAGTACAACAGTCACCGGAGCACGGTACGACGAACCATCAAATACCTGGACTGTTGAATGCAATAATGGACAGACTGTAAGATGCAAGTACCTAGTCCTCGCCGTAGGGTTCACATCCGATAAAGAGCGATTTACACATCCAGATACGCACTTGTTTGAGGGTGATGTCTATTATCCCTACCGTTGGCCGGAAGATGGCGTCGATCCCAATGGCAAGCGTGTGGCTATTGTGGGTAGTGGATCCACCAGTGTCCAAATTGTACAGGACTGGGCCAGCAAAGCGAAGACCTGAACCGTGTTTCAACGGACGCCCAACACAGCCATCCCTGTGCATCCGAAGCCCTTCTCGCCTGGAGAGTACGCAACTTTGAAAAGTAAGTATGCAACCATGTTGGAAACCCGCAAAATATCGCCCTCGGGACTCGCGGACGCCGAGCCAATCGCGCGAACAACATTCGACGATCCCTTGGGCAAGCGACAGCGCACATACGAGAACCTTTACCAGCATGGCGGTCTCCAGTTTTGGGTATCTTCATACAAAGACATGATGTATGACGAGGCTGCGAACCGACAAGCGTACGACTTCTGGGCCAGGAAAACGAGAAGTCGGATCATTAGCCCCCGAAAACGGGAGCTCCTTGCACCATTGCAACCACCCCACCCATTTGGGGCGAAACGGCCGCCTTTGGAGCAAAATTATTTTGAACAGTTTAATCGGGAGAATGTCGATGTGATTGACGTCAAAGCAACCCCTATTTCCTCTTTCACATCGGATGGAATCATAACCAGTGATAGTACGGTCCACCGCGCCGATATTCTGGTCTTTGCCACCGATTTCAAGTCTGTGGTAACTGCTTTGACATCACTTGGGGTACAGGGCATCGATGGAGTCCTCCTGGAGGATCTATGGGCAGAGGGACTTCAAACTTATCTGGGAATAATGTGCCACGGATTTCCCAATATGTTCATTCTGGACGGACCACAGGCTCCTAGTGAAATGGGCAATGCTCCAACCAGTATTGAGGTCCAAGGTGACTGGATTGCAGCAGTGGTGGAAAAGATGAAATCATGCAGGGTAGTTGCCGTCCACCCAACTGTAGCTGCGATGGAAGAATGGAGGGATAAGGTCTGTACAGTGGCGAAGCAGAGGCTCTCCAGGAAGACAGGATCGCGATAAACGAGCCAATCGAAGAGCACTTCGTTCTGTTGTTTCGATTAGATAAAATCTAAAAAGCAGCTTGATGGCTTTCGCAACACCTCCCCTCCAGTCTTTCCGCAAGATTACAAAGTTTCCTGTACATGGAGAGACGTATAAATCCTCCATTTATGCGGTCTTAGCGGCTCAACACTGGGTGCACTTGTGGATTACCTGTGCTAAAGAGGACTGAGAATGGAAAATTGGCGAGGGTCAAGCCGGATTATGTGGGGACTCCAGATATGGAGAGTGTGCATTCCTCACAGCAGCTATTATGATTTGCACCCAGTACGTAGCTAGACGTGAACCTAGTTGTCCGGGTTGCAGATGATAAGGATAGAACCCTGATCCAATAACACAGACCTTACAAATCTCCCAATGCTGGCGTGTCTTGCGATGACAGTGCCAGCCGTCTGAGTACTCTTCTTTTTTTTTTTTTTTTCATTTCCTATATTTTTCTCCCAAAAGAAAATGAGCGGCGGGCTCTGTCCGTATTGTTGCAAAAGATGTTTGCAAAGGCCGAAGACGGGGTATGGCATTGAAGGCAGAGAACCGTATTCGCTCACACTTTTGTTGGACAACCCTACCAACCCTAGTTGCCACAAGCCGTCATCAGAATCTCTTTTCCTTACAGACGCTCTCGGCGGGAGACTTTGATCATATCCGTGGAGTGCCGCTGGGAAGGTAGTCGTATTTAACACCTTTTGCAGTCAGATATATCTCAACGCGTTCAGCGTAGGGTGACGCGACTTACCAATCTGTTAATATTAGCGTCATATACAAGAGAAGCACCCTCGACAACACCCATCTGGAGAAACGGTCAGCAAGACAAATCAAATTTTGCCAGAGACAGAGGAAGAACCCGCTTACTGAGCCAACCGCCGCAGACAGCATGTAAAGGATAATCGCCCAGCTTCATTGTGGCTTGATGCGTCTGAGGGAATTCTCTGGTAGCAGCATGGCTTACACGAGAGATATATAATTATTGAACTGTCCTGCAGTAACCATTATCCCGGAAGACCGTTGTTATTAGAGCCTAGCAAAACTTACCTATCGTTCAGTTTCAACAGGCCCGGACTAGCCCCGTTGACAATACCCAGGGTCCCCAACAGGCTTTTTCCTGAGGGTAATCAGTGGTCGGGTTAATATCAGGATGGCCAAGGAAGTGCTTTGCTATACAATGTCCGCAAAAAATGTCCCCTATTGCTCACGGGCTCCGTTATTGGCTGGACGCTTTTTCATCTTGGCATTAAGTGGTTACTAAGTTGAGCGTAGTTTAAGGAAACACGGAACGGTTGACCATCTGCTAGACCCACCAAGCTATACAATATATGTGGCGGGTCAATTGGTTCAACCACAGCATTGTCTGGCAGTTGCGCACCAATCAGTTTATGATACATCAGATGCCAATAAAACCGCTTAATGTATAACATACATGTGCTTATTCCCGGTCACTGCACGTCAGTCCTCCATTGCGTGTTATTGGGATCAAATCTACTGCTTTCTAAGAAAAGTGGGTCTCAGAGGGCCAGGCTTCCTGGACATAGTTTGTTGCACGAGTCCAGTCCTGATCACTTTAACATAGTGATGCATTGTGCCAGTCGTGAAGGATGCTGCTGTCCACCTGAGGATCCGCACCTACTAAGGGACTGTTGTTGAATTTTTTTAGATGTTGCTACGACGCAGTTCCTTCCCATTTGCTCATTCAGCTTCATACGGTAGAGCTGGCCGTCAGTACCCTTGCTCGAGGCGATGGTGCTAGGAGAGACCTCCTCTCATCATGCTGATAGGAACCATTTAAAAAGTGCCGCCTTTGTCAAGCTTCCCGGACCGAGATACCTAAATCTCCATATTACACTCTATGAATACCACTACCTGAATCTGTCCGCTGACCTAGACCCTTTCTCCAAAATCTCTTCGTCCTCATGTCATAGTTCAAATGCCGGCGAGATGTCAAGAATGGTTCCGCTGTTTCCACCGACCTAGACAAATTTCTCAAAAATCTCTCCCTGCTCGTGTATGAGTTTAAATGTCGTCGAGCTATGAAGGCGATGGCCGGCATAGTCATGGAATATTTATTAATTAACGGGCAATCAATTAGTGAAATTTGGTATGTATTGCTACCTTATATTATAATGGAAATAGCGCCTTCGGAAAGTACTCAAAAGAATATTTTGATTCTTTGTATCGACATCTTAAGGAGAAACGTCCTCATTTGTTGGCGGCGCTGACAAGTTGCGTGGACATAGAGGATGTCCTGGAAATCGGCCGTATCCCGATGGCGCGGGCATCGGCGAATTCGTTGAAAGAATGAAAGAAGCCTTGGCAGCAGACCGGGAAGAAGCCGCTCAGGACAACTGTATTTGGGCTTCAATGGAATGGAGATGGCAAGAGTACGCAAATCGAGCCCAGTAATCAGGGAGAAATGGGAAAAAGCAGCGCCTAACGGCACGGCTGGGAATCAATGGGTGCAAAATTACGGCGAATCTGGATTTGTGCCAATGCGTTGGCAAAAGATCTATAGTGCATATGCCATGTGCCACTGACGAAAGGTAAAGGACGGCCCTTTATAATGCAACTGTACTATACTTGATTCATCAAATTCATTTTCCGGCCATCCTATTACAGTGACCTCTGATGGCAGGGAAGCTGCTGCAGGCTCACTTTTTCGATACCTAGCATTTCCCTCCCACGATCATTCTCGGTAGACCTTGTTTGTTAATGTGAGGATAATCTTTGATCATACCAGTGTCAGGAAATGGTAGTGGAACAGCGTGCTGAGGTCAATGTCCTACTGGCATCATTGTTCTGAACTGTTCACTTTGAACTGCTCTTTTAGAAGTATCATTCTTAGACATCAAGGATATTAGATCCACACTGTCAACAGAAAGAATAAATGCTCGGATGCACCACAAAGAGTAGGATCAAACAATATGCAGCATGTCGTTTCTCAGCCCTCATTAACCCAAGAGATTGTTATCTGGTGCAGATAAAACCTCCGTCTATCACTCAAGTCATATTTACGTTATGCTAGAATAACATGTGAAGCATACATAGTGACACTTTTAAGTAACGTCTGTTTAACGGCAGCCGGAGACATTAGACCAGAACTTTGCTGAAGTATCTGTCCAGACTTAATGACAATTTGGAGCTACTAGCGACAGAGACAAATCGTCACACTATCTAAGATTAAACCCTTCAAATGTCTGCTATAATCATGTAAAACTCCTGTTATCGTGTGCAAGTCCTACCTAAAGCTAGGTTAGTACTCGAAGGGAGCCGACCGAGGGGTGAAGCCGCGACGGAAATGGCGCGGGAAGCTCCCTCATCTGCAGAGTAGCCATAGTAGACAGTCTAGTAGCATATTGAATACACTGATTTATGCATGGTTTTCAACCTGCTCTATTTTGCATGCTAGAGTCCACAAGTTCGTGCTACCTACTGCTCCCTCCGCTATTTCAAAATTGGCGCGGTAGTGGGTTTTTAACAATATATAATGACCATCAAGCCAGATTCAAGAGGAAATGACCATTCTCTCTGGATCAGGTTCAAGTGACCTATCATGGTTAGATTCTCACCGCAATGATCATCATGGGAAGATTCTTAAAAGTTATAATGCGTGAGTAGCCCTTGCATGTTTATATAGGAGTTGCACTAATGAGCACAGCCTGGCACCATAGGGCTAAATTAAAAAGCCGTGAGAAGTGAGTTACTCAGAAAGATCCTCCCAAAAAAAATTCCCTGCTGTAGGAGTCAGAATAAAGTGCTCCCAGAACTTTTAAATGGATCTGCCCCCCAGAACCCTATAGTCAGATGTAGACCAGAAGATTTTCTATCTAGATTGGGCACTGAGGCCGCAATGGGAGGTAGTAATTGATGGGGTTCTGACCAGACGTGGTTTCGAGCATATCTATATCCATAAAAAGACAGGAGGGTTGTATGAGGATGTTGATTTGATTCAGCATCGAGGGTATTGGGAAGACATAACTGAGGACATGAGATCCCAGCCATGGCGCAATTTTACTAGCCAATTCCTCCCATCTGGACGTGCGTTCCTATGGTGAGCATCTAAGTACTATGTACCTTGTTTATATTTAATGTTCAACATACATGTGATCTTTCTCAGTTCAAATAAAGTTTAGCTTAACAACTACCCTATTACATCCTGAATAGGATTCTGCTAGCTCCTTCTGTTGTGATCAAGGGGAAGATCTTTGCCTCTTAACGAGCATTTTTCGTGCAAGCTGAATCCAGTGGAACTTCCTTGTGGATAGGTTTTCGCATGCTACTTCCTTTTTAGTTTAGAGCCGGTGAAAGTTTGAATTCAGTAAGATATTAAGGTATGTTGTGACTATAACATCATTGGAGCTTGACTTACTGGCTGTTCTAAATATGTGTAAGCTGGCGAGGGGCAGTAGAACTACGCCCTTCTTACCTGTTTCGCTATAAGGAGCTAACCATTGTGGTCAAGTCGATCTCTTCCGGCGACATTGTTAGCCACCCACACACGTCTTGCTACCAGGACAGTCATTTACAAACCTCAAAGTACTGTCTACTTTCTTTCTTGGCTACTGTCCATCAATGCAGTTGACCAAGTTCCAGCCAAGGCCTATTATTTGGCAATCTTCTTGTGGGTTTCACTATTGAATTATGTGCTCTTCGGAGTTCTGTCGAGAGCGGCCCTCTAATGATGTCCATAAATAATAACAGTGAGATAGCTTGGCCTTTTAGACTACTGAGCAAGGTCTGCGGCGAGTTGTCAAAGTTGCATTGTTAAGACACGTATCATCCATCTAAGCTTCAGTCGCTCGTTATGGGGTATTGCCCCCAAAACCCATTTCACATATAACACTTTCAATCGGGAACAGCCAGGGAATACATCGTGTAGCAGCGCATTGACTGCGAAATGTTATGAACCACTTAATCCTGCGCACTAGATTAAGGTTCACTTCTTCCAAAGTGCATAATACTTGGTAAACCTTTCAGATGTTAGCGGCTACGCTCCGAACGGCAATAGTGACAATGATCCTCGGGTCGGCAACATCCGCTGGGATGAAGATATTTCATTATGGCACGAAAAGAAGACACCTTGATAAAAGATCTACGGTGGAATCCCAGCACTGAAATGATTGCGTGACTAGGTGACTACATTACCAATGACTGTTTTTTAAACAAATAGGCATCAAGAGCAGCCTGAATAACAAAGTGGTGGTTCTTAATGATACTGCACTCTACACTTAATGCGTCAAATCATTTTCTGCCCATCTTACCATGCACAGCTCCATTTGTGATCCAATTTTCAAAGTAAGTCCCAAATTAACGAGCCCAGCTTTTGCATTTCTGCGGCCTTTGACTCTTTCTTGGCGCCTCACCACACCCGTGCGCAATTGTGCTACATATTGAGAAGGCAATAACCGCCCTCCGGGACCTCTTGGGAAGAGATCATAACCGTGATGAAGGTCCAATGTGAGCCAAACGATTCTGTAATTGGCGCCGCAGGATTTTCCCACTAACGCTCTTAGGGATGGTGTCGATGAATCGGATGCCACCACGCAGGCGCTTGTGTGGTGTAACCCGCTCATTAAGCCACGAATCAATGCGTCGAGCGACATCAGATAGGCATCGTGACTGGGCCGACTGCGTCAAAACGACAAACGCCACGGGCAACTCGGTCGCCTGATCCTCCGCCCACAGCGCTGTGACGGCGCAATCGGCAATGTCTGGATGCTGTAGGAGCATACCTTCGAGTTCGCTAGGAACGATCTGAAGGCCCTTGTACTTGATCATCTCTTTGATACGGCCTTGAATAGTCAGATATCCCTCGAGATCGATAGTTGCAATGTCGCCCGTCCGCAGCCATGTCACCCCGTCCGTATCCGCATGAAACAGGCCGCGCGTGGCCGCCTCGTTCCGATAATACCCTTTTGTCACATTGGGGCCCCGGCAGAGGATCTCGCCCGGCTGGAGCGTGCCGTTAGCGTCCACCTGCATCACGTCCTGCAGTGTCTTTGGGTCGACCAGGCGAAACTCCATGTTTGGCGCGATGCACCCGACAGTGTGACGCCGGTCAATACGGTCCGGAGGCACCCCAGTGGCTAAGGGGCTGGTCTCGGTCATACCCCAGGCCTGGTGACAGTGAACGGTCGTCCCATAGAGCGTGCGGAAACGCTCCTCCAGGGCACGGGCCAACTCCCTGCTCAACGGCGCTGCCGTAGAAAAGATTCTCTTTACGCTGCGAATGTTATACTTGGGAACAAGGGGGTGATTCACTAATAACATGGCAATAGGCGGTACTAGTGACAACTCGTCTGGTTGAAGCTGTTGAGCATTACGCAGGAACACATCTATGTCAAATCGTGGCAGGATGGCAGTGGTCGTCCCCCGCAGCATCCCGCCACAGACAACAGTGCTGATGCCGGAAATATGGCTGAAGGGCATAAATGCCACTCCCGTGGGACTGGGCGATATTCCCCGCAGGTATAGCGCACTCCACTGTTGTAAATTAGCGGTTATGTTGTGATGGGTGATGATTACCCCCTTGGTGGGCCCTGTCGTCCCCGAGGAAAAACAAATGAAAGCAGGGCGTTTGTCGAGCAAGGCCGGCGGGGTCATTAATAGATCCTGCGCCGGACTGCTTGCAACCAAGTCATTCACGGTGGGCATCCCACTCTCCCGTGGTGCATCCCCATCTGCCTGGATGACACACTGGACTGCAGTCCCTTTGATGGCCTCTTTCCCGGTGGGCATCAGGGATGAGTGAATAATGAGATACGTGGCCTGCGTAATCTGGAGCTGGTGTCGGACCTCATCAGGGACCAGGGAGGCATCAGAGGGCGCTACTGTGGCACCACAGCCTATGATAGCGTAGCAAATGATTGGGTACTCGATAGAGTTCGGACTCATTACGGACACGATGTCATCCGGCTGGATACCCAGATTCCGAAGGCCACAGGCCAAAGATCGTGTTCGGTGGAGAACATCTGCGTAGGTGTGGCTGCTTCCAGAAATCGCATCAATAAAGAGTGCCTTCTCCCTGGGGCTGTTGTATGGATTTGAGAAGAGAAAGGACACGAGATCCTCGTTGCGCAACTCCACGTCGGGAAGGGGTGAGCGGTAGATGATATTGGGCATACTTAGAGGACGGGCAGACCACCGGTCCGAGAGCAGCAGGCATGTACGGGTGTAGGATGATTAGTACCGGGGTTCTCGGTAGTTGTCTTGTATATCAATCATGAATATGTTACGCCTAGGGGATGACGTAACCTGAAGGGAAACAGTCGTTGACCTCATCCTATTCTCGCCCCATTCTTTACCGATATAAGGCGGATGTGGGTCATACCGTCGTTGTCAGGTTACAGGTCAGCAGCCCTCGTTCAAAAGGTCGGGCGCCCCGAAACTGGTCATGTGATGTACCTAGCGGTGCACATGCCCAATACCGCTTATGGTTTATATTACGAGGCTTCTAAACTTTTCAATACATGACATATTCTATACCCACTATCTTAAGCTACAAGTTTTAAGCATTTATAAATCATTTATTTACTACTGCTTAACTACTTGTTAACTGCTTACTATAATTTATAAATTTATATTTTATAACCTTATCTATCTTTCTAAGAGCTTGTTACGCCTGGGTATTCGGGCAAGAGCTCTAGTGTGTTAGCTGCCTTGCGTTGCGATACTACCTTACCTAGGTAGTGAATCTGAAGTGATTCCAAGTATGACCCTATCCAGGATCCAACAGTATGACCTAATCTGAGGTCTAACAATATATAACAATATTCTGCAAGTAACTTAAGTCCAAAAGGCCAGGCCTACTAAGTATATATACTTAGTAGTTAAGAAAGTATAAATAAGTTAATTACTAATATAATATTAAAGATATATTCTAAATAACAGTTAGAATTAATTATAAAGAACTAAGCTAAGTATATAAATAAGTATTTTTATATATTTCTATCTTTTATATTACTGCTATAATATATTTAGACTTGTTAGGCCCAGCCCACGAAACCCGGCCCAACCCGGCCCAACCCGGCCCAACCCGCCAAGTAATGGGCTGGGTTTGTGTATATGAAAGTCCATACCGGGCCGGGTTATTGACTATCCCAGCCTATAGGTCAACGGGTTAACCTGCAGGTTACCAAGATATAAAATATAGTAAATATATTATTTATCTACAGTGATATAAATAAATTACAGTATTAAGAGACTGTATTCTATCAAGAATATAAATCATTACTCTACTAGAAAAGGATCTATAGCTGTAGGCCCCCATGGGTGGTTCACATGTATATATTTTGACCTATAGGTGGTTTGCATACTATCTTGACCCGGCCCAAACCCAACAGGCTGGGTTGCAAAACCTGAAAAACCCGGCCCAACCCGCGGGCCTAACAAGTCTACTTAGGCCTGCAACATATGATAAAAATAGCATCTCAAGAATGAGATAGAAATGTATAGAAATGTATAGATCATATATAGAATGATTGGGATTGCATGATATATCATCACATGATGTTGGATCATGTGACCTCCAGTTCAACAATTACTTATATAAGTAAATATCTTTTAGTATTTTTTTTTTCTGATACTAGTATCTAGTCTCTTAATTATTATATTACTAGTTGTTGAACTGGAGATTACATGATCCAACATCATGTGATGATATATCATGCAATCTCGATTGTTCTATATATGTTCTATACATTTCTATCTCATTCTTGAGATGCTATTTTTATCATATGTTGCAGGCCTAAGGTCTACACCTATTCAACATAAATAGGCCTACATTTCCATCCATTCTACAGACCAGATTGATTTAGATTGATTCAGATTGATCAGATTGAAGCAGTTTAGTCAATCTCATTCTATTATTCTATAGTCATGCCTATCTAGTCAATTCATTCTATGGGTTTTACCCGATATCTATCTATCTATTATCTATCTTATCTCTTGATCAATCCCCTGATCACATGCCTAAGGATATCTAGGCTATCAATACCCTAGATTTCCAACAATTAATATATTATATTATTAGTAAAATATCTTAAGTTCTGGACTTTACAAGAATTGAGCTAAGAACTAGTTAATAACCAGTTATAAAATAGTTAAAAAGAGTTTATAAATTACTTTATATATCTAATATCAGACTGGGATTTCTTATCTGCTTAATAATTTATCCAATCCCTCTTAGTATTAACTCTGGTAGCTTATATAGAGGAGGAGAAGGATATTAATAAATCCTATATAATATAAAGATAACAAAAGGACAATATTAAATATTAACTGGCACTAGTGCAGTAAATATAATATTACACTTTATATATTCCAGTTTACCAGGTCCTTAAATATGATCAAAATCTATATATTTATAAATCACTTAGCAACTGCTTATCAAGCACTTGTTAAGTACTTACCACAATACACTTCTGTCTTGATATTAGAGGCTTAATCACTCTGTATTCTTCTTGAGATAATAAAAGCAATTTATTAAATAATTACTCCAAAAAGTCAAGATCAATAGAGATATGGCCTTTTACTGAGCTATAATAGTACTTTTATAGAAAGCTTGATAATATATTTATATTGTTAGGCGCACCTTACAGCGCCTGCGGGTGATATAGTAGCACGTGCGGGTCACGTGCTACCCGCTGCGGTAAAATCTTTACCGCACCCCAATGGCTTCAGAAACCAGTGATCAACCTCTGTATATGGTAGTAGATTATTCAATAGAAACCCAGTCCTCTGCTCCTGCTACCTGCAGTGCTGTAGCACGCTATTCCCCTACTATCTGTAGCTTCCTAAGCTGTAATTAACAATTTTGATCACTTCTTTAGGTTCTCTTATCTCTGAATAGCCTGCTATAGCACTGCAGATATGCAGAGCAGTAGCTCCTGCAGGAGACACTGGATTAAATATTTAAAGCCCCAGGGAACTGTATAACCCGATAATCTTAGAATTAATTCCTATAATAATAGCTGTAGCTATAATATCGCAACCCTATAAAAATATAACTGTACAAGCAGGATCAGGAAGTATCTCTTTATTAATAATAAGAACTCTAAGTCCTGCCCTAGAGAAAGAAGTGCAGCTTATAGAGCAAGAATACTAGTGGATTTAACTAGAGCTGCAGAAACAGGAACTTAACTGTCTGATTAAGTAAGAAAAGCAAAAGCTACAGAAAGTAATTAAATATATAGAGACAGAATTATTATATCCTGAACTAGAATTAAATAAAATAAGTAAAAATAATATAATATATATCTAGAAAATATAGATATCTTTTCTCTACAGGTCTTCTAGCTGACTAGCAATAAGCAGAGAATACTATAAAAAGAATATAAAAGAATATATTATATTTATAGTTTATATAAAGAATTACTTTATTATTAATTAATACTATTTTACTAATAATATAATAAAGATTATAGATAGTATCTTTTATCTATCAGTAAATCTTATTTACCTGTAGAATTAATATACTAATAAACAAGAATATAACTCTACTTAAGATAAATTCTATAACTTTTTTCTATAGTAGTTAAATAACCCTGTTAATCTATAGCAGAATATAAACCAGAAATACTATAATATAAAATAATAATCTTATTAAACTATATAGAAATTTACTATATTTATTATATAATAGAAAGCACAACTTCTAGAACCTTATACTAAACTATAATAAAAGAACTATCTTTAGATATAAGTTCTAGAAAAGCTATAGTAAGAATTACTAAAATATCTAAATAAATCTAATAAATATAAAAACTTTATAATATATCTCTAAACTATTAAGGATAGCCTATTATATTATAGAATAAATCAAGAAAAATAGCATGCTAACTAATATATATTAATATTATTATTTCTATAAAAGAAATAAAATCTTAGAAAGAGATTATTATTTAATAGGACTTTATTACTAAATCTGAACTATAACCTATAGAAATAAAAGTCTAATATAAATAATAGAATAAATTATAGAAATAATAAGAGTAGCCTACTAGATAAATACTATTATTATAGATATTTTAGATACTGAAGTAGAGATTACTGTATGACTAGATCTAAATTAATAATAACTGTAACTAATATATTAAAAAACTAGATATCCAAGACTATAATATAGCTATAGTTCTAGAGATTAAGACTAATTAAAAATTAAATAACTTAATAAATATATAGATAAAGCTATATATACCAGTAGACTAAAAAGAAATTAAAGTATTAATTAATAGTAGAGTTTAAGTAGTTCTAATAAACCAGATATAGATAAAAGAAAACTTATCTATAATATAGAAAATATCTAGAAAGATTATAGCACTAGACAGGTATAAGATTCCCTTATATAGTAGATACTAGATTACTATAGATATAGAAAATTGCCAGAATATCAGATAGGAGATAGTTTTTATTATAGATATAGTAAATATAGAGAACTATAATATTATTCTTAGCTATCTATAGCTGTAAAAAGTAAATTTCTTGATTAACTGGTAAGTCTATAACTTTATTTATAGAAGTAGCTACAGCAGTGATTCTATATCTATAGTTTTAAGTATAGAGATAGTCTAAGTAGTAGAGAAAGGTCTTCCTGTCTATATAGCCTATATAAATATCTATAAAGATAAGATTATAATATAGACTGCTAATATAGTAGCAGTAACTAAAGAAGTAGAGCTAGAGATATTAAAAGAATATCTAGAATTTTAAGAAGTCTTCTCTAAAAAAGAAATAGAAAAACTATCTCTATATATAGAATATAATTATATAATTAAATTAATTTCTAGAAAATAGTTACTGTACTAGCTAATTTATTCTCTCTCTAAAAAAAAGCTTAAAGTACTCTAAGAATATATTACTACTATATTTAAAAAAGAATAGATAAAATCCTTAAAAAGTCTAGTAGAGATATTTATTATATTTATACTAAAGAAAGATAGTAGTCTATAGCTATATATAGATTACTATAAATTAAATAAAATTATAATCAAGAACTGCTATCCATTACTGCTAATTAATAAGATAATAGATTATCTAGTAGAAGCAATAATTTATACTAAGTTAGATCTATAAGATATATATTATTATATTTATATTAAGACAGAAAATAAATAGAAAACTATTTTCTATATTTATTATAGCTATTTTAAATATTAGATAATATCTTTTAATCTAGCTAATATACCTGTAATATTTTAAATATATATTAATAAGATTCTTAGTAATCTACTTAATATATACTATATAGTCTATCTAGATAATATCCTTATCTATTTAATATCAGAAGTTCAGTATATATAATATATATAGGTAGTTCTGGAATAACTATAGCAGTATCAGTTATATACTAAACTAAGCAAGTATAAGTTCTATATTATATATATAAGCTATCTAGGATTCATTATTATACTGTAGGATATTAAAATAAAGCCTAAGCAAATAGAAACTATAGACTTATAGCCTAAGTCTACTAT